CAACAGGCTCTGATCGATGAAATATCGATGCAGCCTTGCACGTAATCGTGCCGACAATTCTATGTCTGAGTCCTTGAACTCGTCGCTGCCAAGAGCACGTAGCATAGCTACACAGTCTTCATCCTTGGCATAATCTGTACAGATAAGGTCAGTGACCGACGACGACAGAGTCGTAACATGAGCAAGCTCATAGTCAGTCCGGCGTGACAACGCATCAGCCAAAGCATTCTGCTTGACCGGATTATACTTCACCTCGAAGTTGTATTTGGAAACGAATGAAAGCCAACGATCCATTATCTGAGAGAGACGTTGCGACTTGGTCGCAGTGCGCATTGACGCATGATCGGTATAGATCACCAACGGCTTGGAGCCAAGCAGATGAATTCCGAATTTGACAAGAGCATACTTCATGGCAAGTGGCTCCTTGTCATGAGCAGGATAGTTCTTTTCTGTAGCCTTCAGCTGCCGAGACTCGAACACAATGACGCGTTCCCTTCCATTCCCATCTGTTTGCAACATGGCACTGCCTATAGCAAAGTCAGATGCGTCCCAGACGACACTGAAAGATCGATCATAATCAGGCAAAGCCAAGATTTGCGCATGAAGGAGACTTTCCTTTACTGCTTGAAAATGATCATGCTCGGTGCTAGTCCAGTACTATTCTCATCCTTTTTAAGGAGATTGGATAATGCATGAGCCATATCTGCGTAATTCGCAATGTACTTGTGCAAGTATCTGGCAGGGTCAGGCCACTTACGTAAGTCCTTTTAATTCTTTGGAACCGGCCAAGCAACTATGGCTTTTACCTTAGCGGTATCCGCTCTAAGGCCTCGCTTACCAATAAAGCACCCTAAAAAGGGAATCTCTTCTGCATCAAAGATGCACTTAGGCGCGATGGCATGCAACTTATTCGTGCGCGTGCACTCAAGCACCGCTCGTAAAAGGTCAATGTGATTATCCACATCTGACCGACCGTTCGTAGCACGGCTATGGAGAAAGATGTCATCAAAGTACGTCTGTGCATATCCTCTATGAGTTTCAAACAATTGTGTCACAAGACGATTAAACGTAGCCGGGGCATTTGATAACCCTTGCGGCATAACAAGCCGCTCCCAGAGCATACCGCTTGGAGTGCTGATCGCTTTCAGCGGAATATCGCTCTCTCGCATGAGCAGCTGGTAATAACCATCGACTAAGTCGAGCGCACTGTACATTGTACATCCCACCATATTGTTCTGAAGAACATCCTTCCTCGGAATTGGTGTCTGAGCCGAGATGGTGGCTGCATTAGGCTTATTGTAAGCATGAACAATGCGCCACTTCTCATTGGGCTTTTTGACACAGAAGGTCGGTGTGGAATGGGTAGATTTGCTATCACGTACCATACCAGCCGCGTGCTTTCACGAAAGAAGTCGTCAATGATGTCAAACTGTTTTTTCGGTAAAGTCCACTGCCGTATTAGGCAGTATTTCGTTCCAGGAACCAAGTCAATTTCATGACGAACATCTCTATCGGGAGGTAAGACGGACGGCGGGTCGTGACACATTATGTCACGAAATTCCTTTACTAAAGGATAGAACGGATCAAGAGGATCCTAAAGGATCGAAGATCCGCTACGGGCATCCAATGCCGCCTTTGTGTCCTCAAGGACAGACTCGTCTAATAAATAGGATATTTTCAATTTAACGTCGGTCCGAATGACCACTAACTCGGATAATTCTCCTGCCTGCAAGGCTTGGCTAAATTCGCCGTCATACATTTCGTCTAGGTCAAAGAGTGTATCCAAGAAAAGAAGAGACTCAAGGCGGATGTCGCCATCAACATGGCCAGTCAACCCATTGACAAGTGTATATAGTGTATTATTACTATTATCACTTCGTGACTTCTTAGACGTTGGGCGCTTACCAGTTGCCACCCTACGCTCAGATTGTTTCCTCAAAGAAACCTTACGTCTCTTAGAGGCCGGTACAGTAGAATCTCCGTGGTTGCTATTTATCTTAGCACGCTCTATACGAGAGCTCATGTCTTGAACCACATCTGGTGAAGTGTTACGTAACTCGAACACTTCACTCAGTGGATTTACACGTACCACTTCACGTACATTATTTAGGCATATCCCTGCATGCTCTGGCTTCTCACCAACAATGTCATTACAGACCTTCAGTGGGGTGCCACCTCGGCCGCCCTCACTCGGTGTAATTTCTCGTGCCACCCCACTCACATCAGAGAAATTACATTCTTGATGTCTCGTCCCTAGGCCAACCATTCCTAAAGCATGTAGTGACTCATTAACACAGCGAGTACAACTGAACGGAGTACAATCATCTTCACATACGGCGAAAGAGCTCCGCTCCATCTTTATGTCATTAACATTGGAGTTAATTAACTCTGAAATACCAATGTCCAGCACATTGGCATCTTCCGTCAATGGCTCGCTCCAATAGCGCTTTTTTGCCTAGCGAAGGTGGGTTCATGACTCTCCAAAGCTTCACAAGGAACATTGCGCGATGCGCCTACGGTCTTAGACCTCCAATCAATCCATGGCTCATGGCGTTCAAGTCAAGCCATACCAAGGATGAGATTATATCTCGAATCTAAATCGAGGACAAGGCAGCGTTCAATGCTGTCAAAAGTTTGGATACCTCACACTTAAGATCATCGGAACTTTAGGCACTGTGACGTGACTACCAGTTGCTAAACGAACGGTGATCGAATCACCTTCATGCGCTTTGAGCGCTTCAGCGTATCGCTGACCCCCCTCAAATGAACGACGTCGAGCATAATTACATGATGATCCTCAATCGATTAAAATCAACCACTGCTTCTAAAAGCCTTTAACTGTCACCTCAGCGACTAACAAGACAGGCTTGTATCCACGCTCTGTGCTGGCTGGCACAGAGCTCTGTGGGCTAAGCCCTGTTTCACTCTACCTCGTAGAGAAGCAACAGAACCTAGTTCTTCTTCAGTAGGGCGCCCCGCTCCTACTGGGTGTCGGCAGTTCCTCGTGCCATACCAGATTTCTGGTTGAGGCCGGGGTTTCGACTTATAGGAGTCGGTTGTTGCTTACGCAAAAGCCAAGTGGGGACTCAAGTGTTTAGTGCTTCCGCACATGTAACAGCGTCTCACTTCCTGTCGTTGCTCTGCAACATGAAGCTCCGATTCACCTTCATCTTCAGCATGGCTGAGATCCATTGGTTCCGGCTTACAGTAAGCCGAAGTATTTGCTGAGGCTGACCTCGCAAAGTTTGGGTTGTACCCATTCCAACCAAGTATGGTCGACTTAAAGTTGTGCTTAGCATTCAGAGTGATGGTAACAGCTTCTTCAAAAGTAGAGGGATGGACCCGAAAGACTTCGGTCCTGGCAACGCCATTGAGAAGACCTTCCATGAAGATAGTCACACATACTGTCTCAGGGATAGGGTCAGACTGCATCGCATCCATCAGAGTTCTCAACTCTTGGACATAGTCCGTTGACTCATTCTTACCCTGACGGGTAGACAAGAAGCGTGAGCGCACACGATAAGCCTGGTTAGGCGGCGAGAAACTTGCAAAGGGTCTAGCTTGAGCAAATCTCATGTGGGAAAAGCCAAGTCGACAGACGTGTTGCTCGTCAGAGCCCACTCTATTGCTCTTCTATCGAGATTTGGAATCAGCCAGCGAGACCCGCTGGTACTCCAGTGAGATAAAGCCATACCTCATGGAATAATCAATCTCACGGATCCAGAGGGTGAGGTTTCCCCCCTCCTTCCCGGGGTAATGTTTCGTTCACCCGAAGGGAACGAGGCTTAGCCTCTTCTTCTGGCATCGCCACGTAGCGTGTTGGTATAGCCGACGCTACTTGATTTTAAACCTGCCCTAGAAAGGCAGTTTCATACTGCACGAAGGTCTCGACTCGTGCATTTAGCACATCGGATCCTGCGCAGCTGGAAACTCCACATATCCAGGGCCTACGGCCGCGGTCACCTTATCAAGCGCGATCTTCTGGGCCTCAGCTAGGGGTATGGATTGCTTAATCCTCACAGAGGATCAGTCTTTACAGACTCAAGCGTAGATTGACTAAAAGTGCTACCAAGTGTTGAGGAGCTACACAGATCCTTTAGTCATAGGAAGACTTTAACGCTCAACGAGCAGCTAAAGGTTCTATGAACCCGACTCAGTGAGTCAAACTGCTCAGAGAGCTTAAGATTTGGCTCAGAGAACCCGACTCAAAGAGTCAACAATCTCAGAGAGCTTACGGTCCTTGTTCCAGGGGGACCAAACGTTTCAAAGAATCGACGCACAGAGTGCACAAGGGGTAGCTGCCTTATCAAGGCGTTTCTACCTCCTCAAACGATCACAAGGCGCCTCAGAGAGGCACGTGTCTTTCGGATCAAAATGTGAACTGAACTTCATTTCTTCTTTTAACCTAAAAGAACATTATAGAACAACGCAATTAACCTACTCGCTAATATCCTAAAAAAACTCTCAAAAGATCTCGTAATCGATGGTTGACAGACATCAGTCTTCAACAATTGATACTGTGTTCTAATATAACTTTAAAGGAGATCCCATCCCTTGTGCGCACCACACCTATTGTCGACTATCAGTCGACGTGTAACACCGTTACAGGTGACGTGTTGCGATGTGTCACCAACATCTACACACACGCATTGGCGATCGGACTTGTGACCTAAGCCCGTATCGTTCTTGAGCAGCGACCTCTGCTTGCTCGATGTATTGCCTTGTTGTCCACCGCTTGGAAGTTGCAAGTCAACGTCACGATAGACCCGTGGCAGCTGAGATGGAAAAGAACCACAACGTCTCAAGATCGACCGCCACTACCAAACATCTATTACCAAAGTAATCCACATACGAATGAAGTCTCCAGCCCGTCTACGATGTGAGTCAGCAATACAAACGGACTTTTGAAGGCCCTTAGCAGAAGCGCAGATCCTGTCGATGCCGGGTGAAAAATCCTCGCGTACCCGCAACTTACAATGACGCTAGCTACGTCCAGCGCATCAGTTCTTTTTCCTGAAAGGCCAAGACTGTTTCAAGTGCGACTCAAACTCGTCGTCGCTGAGGGGCATCTTCGACGAAGGCGCCCAGGGAGGTAACTCGCCCCAGAGGACCTCGTTTAATGCAGAACGGGCATTTTCCGACAACTGGTCCCACGTGATCAGATCCTGCTCTTTGCCGTCTTCAGTAGTGAATTGAGGCATGCGGCCAAGGTTTTTTTCGTCCCACACATGCTTGACTTTGACGCCCACCCCGTCCTTCAGTTCATCGCCAGATGGCACTTTGGTGGTTCCACCCTGCATTGTCACCGCTCGAATCGTTGAGTTTGTTACGGCAGGGTTGTTTACCCAAACGACAAGGTGCACCCAAACACGAACCTGGTGTGAAAGTTCTGTCTCGTCTTTCAGTAGATACCATGTATACAGGATGGCCCATATGCCCTCGTACCAAGTTGAACGCGCGTAAATTTGAGACCCATAGGGAGATCCCTGGCATCCCTCACCACCAGATCCAGCCAGCTCCAAACCGCCGTCAATTGTAGGTCTCAGCACCAAACCGCCGCTGGTCTCGCCCGCTTCATTCACAGCGGGATACGGTTGGCATCCGTTATCAGTGCTGAACTGTGGTTTGAACTTGACGGACGCTTTATCGGAGACTGTCTCGGCCTTCCGCTGAGCAAACGGCTTCACTTGGTCGCAACCTATTGTCACCTCTGCCCACCGTGTCGGTTTCGGAGTTGAACTGGAAACATCGTCCTGCTGTGCTGTACCCTCGGGCATTTTTTGGCCTTGGGCTACTGCTGCTGCGAACAGAGCGGCACACACGAACACGTCGGTCTTCATCGCTACTCTGCTTGTCGTCACGTCTACTAGCGGAAGAGCTGCACAATGAATATAGGACTGTAAGTGCTGCACGGAGAAACGCACGGCTTCGGTGCGATGTGATGTAAGAAGAAGAAGGCGGTTGGACACTTGATGGTAAAATGCAAAGTGGACGTGTTTAGTTCCCTAGTTCGCAATCTCGTCGAATACCTTCAGGCCCACTAAATTCGTTGACAGCCTAGTCGAGCATTACCAATCGTCACGTCGTGCATTACAAATCGCCTATCGCCCTTACGTTCGTCACGTCGCGCATTACTGTTCGATACGTCGCGCATTCGTATAGAACAGTAATGCGCGATAGGCGGTGACTCTCGCACGTTAGTGACCTTACCAATAATTGCCTGCTGGCCAAGACGCTTTTTCGACATCAGTGTGTACTTGCTGTTTGCCATTCCACGACATGTAAAAAGCGAGCAACATATCAGAGCAAAGAGCCGCCTGTTTTTCGATCTCGGGAGAAAATCGCGTGCCCTATGATCTCCATAAACTCTGAGGCACGCTCGGCATATGACTAACTGACAAAACAAGCGATCCGACATGTCGTGCAACGCAGTGTGGAACCAACCATCTGTGAAGCACACTATGAGCTTGTAGCAATTCCATGTGCTCTACAGCGCGCTCTCTACAACTCCGGGAGCTGCAAGAGCGAACCACAAACACACACAACATAGGGAAGATTACTGCGCAAGAGGTGATCATCCGAACAGCCGCAAGCAGTAGCGATTGCGCCAAGTGTTGTAGTTGCGGTCATTCTGCCGCCATAAGGTGATAGTCCGCCCATCATCTGATGGTGGTCCCACGTGGCGTCCGCATCGCCTCGTCGCGCATGTCATAAGACCCTGATGATCCGACGTGGCGACCGTAGCTCCTCGCCCCATCTGGCAAGTTTCACTAAACAGCTAATCAGGTGAGGTCAGAACTTGCCCGAAATAGGTCTTGCACTTAAACCTCAGAACCGTCACAACCTGTCAGAAAACGGTACTTTCTAACACCGTGTCTTACCACGGAAAGTAGGCCGCCTGCAACTTGGCTGTACTAGCTGCAAGGCTCTCTACCAAGTCTTTGACAAGCTTTGGCCGGCCGGCAACATCGAGGCGATAAAATTACAGCCATATCCTGCGCAGCGCGGTGCACTCCCGTATTTCTATGCGATGCTCATACAGGAAAGTGCGTAGCGAGCCGTGCAATCACGCTCGAACGGGAAAAGGCGAGCGACAGTCGAAGCACGGAACCCTCGAGTAAGAAGACAAGTTAAGCCGGGCATCCTCGGATATTCCACACAGTTCAACTTGTGACTCTTTACAATACTCCGCTTATGGGATGAAGTAAGGATACCGTCGGCGCGCACGATCATTTTTGCTTCTGATTGTAGTTTGTCCCGTGACATATGGACATTGGTCGCCGGCAAAACTTGAGTGCAATGTTGACACGCGAACACATTTGCAAACGCAATATTTGCTAGACATTGATGAGAAACTAAGACTTGCTTACGAACGGATACCCAGTTTCGTTCTCACCTCGATGCTCTGCTAGTACGATTTCCACACGATCCTAACAGCGCGCCATTTGCACCTCGGTCGACGGGTACGGTGTGTTGTGGCTGTCCGGGTCATCTGCTGTGATAGATGCACTCATCATCGTGGCTACATGGAGTTTGGTTTTACGCACACTTCAGCGGCAAACGTTAGAAGAGTATCAACATTATCAGCTACGCTGCAGCCTATAGAACGATGCAGACAAGGCGGAGTCCTAAACCTTTCATCACTTCGTAAAGAAAAGCACGTCGATCATTTTCACAATCTATTTACCACCTACGACTCTTCCGCTGTCGTCGACGTAAGCTCAGTAATTAGTGCCGTGAGTGCGTCGTAAGTGTAAAGCGATGATATGTGACCGTCACTCCATTTGACCGCAAACGCATAATTGCCCTGGTACAGAAAATGCAGTCAGAAGGTGTTCTTGAATAAGCCTGTGTACGGTTGACAAACCTTCCGCTCGACCGCAGTGGGAACGATATTGTCTGGAATGGTCGCTGGGTCCAAAAGCTGCGCCCAAGCATGCATGTTAAGCCCAGCCACATCCTATGCACAGCGCGAGGCTGAGCAGATAAACGCACCTGCTCTCCAGTAAACTCGCCGACGCATTGAGCGCACCGGCAGCTGTCACGGATCAAGCAGTCAGCCGTCAGTCAACATGTTGGTAACGAGGCACAATGCCAGCTCAGGTTGGCCTACCGAGCTCGAAGGTCAGCCGGGTGAAGCACGGCTTCCTTTGCCTCGTTTAGACTGTACAAACGAAGCACAATGCCGCGATTCTTATCATACAGAAGTTCCGGCGCCAGGCGCATGTTGTGTTTCAGTACTACAAGTTCCTTCGCCACCTAACAAGCGGTAATTTGTCAAAGCCAGCTCAGCTAAATAAAATTTGGCATCCACTTACTGTGGTTGCGAGCAAATCGTAAGTTTGTTCCTCCTCTGAATACAGTCCTGATAGTACAAAGGGGCTGCAGCCAAAGAGAGACAAAACCAGATCGTACGTCAACACATGTACGCTCTGCGTCATTGATGATGTACGCACCGTCCAGAATCACCCGATGAACTGAATTGCTCCGCAATAGGTAGCTTGAACAGGTTTTTCATATTGTACTTATCGACAAGCTCCTGTGTATGGCCCGGGCCTGCAAAATAAAGTCTAAATCACCGACTCATGTCCTCAACACTGCCAATGGCTACTGACCAAATGGGTAGTGACGTTGCCCATGCGAGCAGTCGAAGTAGGACATGTTCTCCACCACAGCAGCTGTTTTCACCTAAACAAGCACCACTGTGGTCTTAGCGGCAACGACAACAATACGCCTTTGTATCGACTGACCTACCTTCAAGTCATCAAACATTGCAATCCCTTTCTCCACGTCGACAAAGCTGAGCAAGATAGAACAGTATTCATATACCCGTGCACCGCCCAGAAAGTAGAGCATGCCGTACCTGAGTCGCTGCGGTGTGGTCACGACGACTGCAGCTGATATAGCCATTTGCTGCGAGAGGGAGATCTGGATGTCCCCCGTTCCTGGAGGCATGTCCACCACCAAGTAGTCCAGGTTACCCCATTCTGTCCCAAGAACGAGCTGATCAATCAGTTTTGAGACCATGGGGCCGCGCATCACGGCAGCTCCGACGCCTGTTTCACCAGCGCACATACACGACAACAATATCCATCAAATGTTGATAGATCCAGCTGAAGCAGCCGCAGAATCGCAACCGAGATCCTACCTCCAGCCCCCGGAGCGGCACGCTGGTTCACAAAGCCGAATGACATGCACTTGACACCCTCGTACTCCACTGGCTCGACAAAGTGCTTGACCTTTCTCGACGGACGAATGGTGCAGTCTACGGGGGAGATCATAGTGGGTAGACTTGGCCCGTAAATGTCCGCATCCAAAATACCCACTCGAGCACCGCGCTTGGCCAGACTATCGCGCAGTAGATAGCCAATTCCAACCATCAACCCAGCGGCCTCTCATCTATGGCATCACTATATCCACTCTACCTGAATGCTAAATTCACTGCTACCGTGGATTTTCCGACGCCGCCTTTGCAACTTGACACTGCAATGATGTCCGACACGTGGGCCAGCGACGACAAGCGTCCAGCTCGAGCATTGCGCGGTCGTGGCTTAGTGATCTCGAAGTCTGTCGCCTGGACCCACGCCAGCTCGTTCACTGCAAATTTGGCCTCGTGTCGCCACTGATCGTCGGTGCATACATTGATCGTATCAAACAAAAGTGAGTCGAGGAATGAGGGAGTTATAGCTGTTCCAGCAGCCAAGATAAGACCTGCTCGGCTAGCTCCTTCAGCACCGGTGATGGCATCTCGATCTTGCACGCAACTTGCCCCGTCTCAGGTGTCACGCTTAGGTCCTATACGACATCAAGTGAGCTCCTCGAATCAATAGACGGGTCACAGCAGACGGGTCGCACCGCACCTTGACACGGCCAGAGGACACGATGTCGCCTATCCCCAACCCATCCGACACGCCACGCAGCTTCGCCAGCACTTGGGATTCGAGTTGCACGGCTTGACGCACCGAAAAGACGCGCAACGACCGGCCCAGGGACGCCATCGAGCGAGGTGCAAGCCACGGCCGCATATTTGACTGGCACGCGGAAGATAGTGTGGTCCACGCGCAAAGACGCTCAGGCACCACCTGTTGGAGGCGACGAAGAGTAGTTTGGGGTGGGCGAGATGGACGAGATACAGGACGACAGAGTTTCGTAGGGGCAAGTGGGTGGTGAAAGGTGGTAGTGGATAGACGAGTAAGTCGCTTTGTTGACGCTGCTTGGGGCAGAGGTAGAGGTTTGATGCCATGCTGATCGAGATGGCGAAGAAAACCTACTGTGCTGTGGGCTTGCGCAGCACAAGGCAGCAAAAGGATGTGAACACGAGGCGATGACCTTCGATGTCAGGTGTGTTTTAACAGGGGAAGCGAAGGTTGATGTCTTCTGGTAGAATCGGCGCTCGGGGAGTTGTAGGAGGTGAACGTGTGTGTGCGAGGGTGAACCAATAAGGTGAAGTCCATTCCAACTTGCAGTGGTGAACAACGGGTTGTAGTCGCTATGCCAATGTAAGGCCAGGAATGTACAGGTACGTCCAAAGATGACGAGAATCAAGTACTTGCTCTTGCTGGCAAGCAGAATACGCTAGTGTTGTCGTCCCTTCGAGGTGTATAGTCGGTTCGCTAATTGAACAGCACGAGCCATGCCTTCCCTGCAGTCCCTTGACGCAAATGGTATGTCAAAGTCAACACACCATACAGTGCACCGGTGTCGATGTTCCTTCGCAGCTCGTGCATCTGCTTTTGCTCCCACAGTTAGATGCAACAAAACGAATTATCGCATTACATGTTCTTCATACATGCTGTATTTCTGCAGAAGACTGGATGATGTCATTCATTTTGTTTCACCCGGTTTCCTCATATCGTCGGCTTGGCCAGATTTTACGTACCCAATAAGGGATGGAGATGCTCAACCACCCGGTAACCACTTGCACATATTGAGCAGGACAACACAGCTGCACGCATTGCAGCATGCTGACAGAGAGGAAACTGTATATGAAAAATAATGTACAACCATGTCGAGCCTTCTCTCATATCCACAAGTGAGAACAGGTCACATTACGACACGCTTATGGTTTGCCGGCTCGTAACGCATCGATCGATGATACAGTAGAATGATCTATCTGTTCCCAACCCATTGCAGATCTCGTATTCGTTTCAAGTTGAAGTAGATCAGGTTGCTGCAAACGTTGTGGACGACAGGATTCGGGTTGAACGCGTCGCTCTGGTTTGCATAATCGTATACTACGCGTAGATGTCGAAACGTTGATCAATCCTCGATGCGAACGGAGGCAAGCAACGAAGACCGAAAGTGAAGACCTGTTTTGACAATGCTAGGTGACACGTCTTGCATCAGCTGAAAAATGGGGAAGGAAGAGGGTTGAGGATAGCTCGGTCAAAAAGGGAGCTGAGCCGCAGAGGTCATCACTGCCGCTCAAGAAAAGCTCAATGATGTGAAGACAAATGCACTGTACATCAACATCTGGGTTGTAACGCTGTAGCATGCACATCGAATAACGAGTTTGCATTCGCTTAGTGGTCGAATTCTGTCACATACTACTGCTTTGCTGGTGAGTTGTAGCTAGCAGGAGCAACTATCGAGCACTACTGGCACTACTGGTGGTTCATTGAAGTACATACCGGAGAATAAACTTCGTATAGTAATCAGTACAAATCCTTCTGGTGCTTGCTTGCCATCCTCTTTGCATACGATGTGTGTGTGGCTCCTGAATGCGTAGTGATGCATCTTTACATACAAACTTGCCAGACTTTCTTTGCACAAGTTATGTGTGCCTCCAATGTGTGGATGCAGCAACTTTATATGATGATTTGTACCAAGAGTTATGGGACACTGCCTACCTTTGGCACGAGATCATTGATCGGTGGGTGTAGAGCTCGCAACGCTACAATTCACACACAACCATCAATATTATGCAACAATCGACTGAATGTGGATAGTGTGGCGAGTACCTTTCCGCTTGTGATGGCTCGCACACTTCTGGAATAGCGAACGTCGCGTATAAAACAACATTGTATGCGTGACGCTCTGAGACCATGTCCTTTAAGCGAGTCGCTATCTGCGGCAATGCAACAGTAATGACCAGAAAGAATGAATTTCGATACGATCCATCTTGGCAAGCTTACCGACTACAGGTCATGATCATGGAGAACTATGGATTTGCAACATCTCGGGCATGTACTTACCTGCTTTGCGGTACAACATCTGGGCATCGACATAGCGTTTCCTGATACCATCTTGTCTACTATCAAATCGTGGACGTATGCATACTTTGATAGTATCGATGTCTGTCCGTCCGTCCACAAGCACGTATTCATGACGGGGGTAAGTCTACCGCTTCGTCGCTCATCACAACCTTGGCAATTATCGTAAGCGGTGTAAAGACCATCGAGGGATCTTTATAGCTCAGCCTCGCCCATTGCAATATCGAGGCGAGTGGCATCAAGTTCATGAGATTACCATATCTCGTATTGTGAGTGCATGTTGCGATCAATCGCATTCAAGCTATACGGCCTACTGGTGTTGAACCTTCTTACCCTCGCTTACGTGAAGATGGTGCTACATCGGCATGGCAAAAAATGATGCGTGTGGGCCCTATCCGCTGGACTGAGTGGAAACGCACCTTTGTTTATCACTGTAAGATCACGGATTCGACTCTTATGTAATCAAGGGTGTCTACTGTAAGCATGTAAGCAATCAAAAGATCAAGACCAAGCGATTTCGCAGCCTCTGCGTAGTTGCATTAGCAAAGACCAAAACCGAGTGGATCCTCGACCTACGTCACTGTAAAATAACGTGATATCCCTCGCCTCTTTCTCAATCTAGCTCATGACCAATTACTAATGAAGATACGTGCGACGGAATCCTCGATAAAAGATGCAATTGATCATGACGGTGTGTCTCAAGCAGCGGCTTCTACAATGTGTTGCCGCACGCGACAACTAAGTCTTCAGGGTCCTCGTTGAGTCGGGCACAACCGATCACGAGTTTCGAGGCGCGGAAAACTGAAGGGCTATACCGTCTATTATTGTGCTATATGGCGGGTGATGTTTTGCAAGTACCCGAGTCACCGTTACGCTTACTGACCATGCACCATTATTCGCCAGCTGAACAATTTCTGCTATTCTTCGATGGAGGTTCTCGAGTCAATTCTAGACCAGGAGGCTCCAGATCCGTCATAGTTCAAATATGGGCCCAGGCGGATGCTGCTCGAATCGTGGAAATATCTACCACGGCACTTAGCGCGTCGACGACGACGTCGAGCAACATGTCCAACTACCGGCCTTGTACACGGCTTCCACAAAGCGAGGTTGTGGTAAAGTGAATGAGTTATTCTGCAACGAAAGCATAAATCGCGCTTCGGCTCGGTCCGATCTGGCAAATGAATGGCTAAAGTGGTCGCACTAGTTTTGTCGCGTTCGTTCCTTTCGTGTGCGCCGGTTGATGGAATCGAATTTTCCACCTGGTGTCGAGGTGTGATGGATATAAACGAGGATTATAACACAGCGATCCGCGATCAAGTGGGAGTTCGCGAAACAGTTGTTGATGTGCTTACACAACCTGACCCGCGATCCGTAATTTAAGATGAGATTGCGATGCATTGGATCGGTGTGTATTACACCACTCGATCCACTTTGCTTACGGTAGATCGTTCGATGTCGAATACTTTGAATACATTTACTTTTTTCTTCATTTCTTTAGCGATTCGAAACATGACACGATTCGCTGGAGCCGTAGTGAACTTCGCCGCGACCAGAAAGATAGCCGAATGTAGTTACCTCCTGATCTTCTTCTTCATTCTCTCCAGGTTCGGCTTTCACGTAGCTACTCAATAGCATGTGCGTAACTTACACGCCCTATGTGTAACACGCCCTATGTGTAACACGCGTACTTATCTATCGTATCACCCGGCTCATTTTTTTGTTTAGACCCCCATCTCTTGGTCCTTTTTCTCGAAGTCGTCGTACTCAAGTGCTCGTTCTACATCTTCTTTTACATCGATGTCGTTTGCTCTCGCTTGGTCTGGCTCGGTGCACAACAATCATCCAATGTTTGCTAAGACCCTGTCGCACGCTTGTTCCAAACGGATGACCGCATCGCTCTTAGTTGGTTGATTGGTACTTATTAACAATTGCGCATCTTGATATCTCGCTTTGCGGTACCAGTTGCGTTTATAGTAGTTATGAAATTTGTAATAATACACTTCCAACGCACCAACACAAGTGTATTGCCGAGGTAAGTCGGCGTGTTGGGCTGTTGCGCTGGAATATAGCGACTATCTTCGCGGCTCGTCCTTTCATGTCAGTTGTGGCTTTTGCCAAATGATTCCCCGCAGCCAAGTCCCCCAGAAGCCTGCCTGAGCTCAGCAGCTTGTAAACCTTATACCCTCTGTGACTTCAGCTTGTAATAGAACCAAAAAGATCTGCGTCCTACGCAGTACCTGCTCTTTTCTCGATGTGTCTGAGAAAAGTCACGGGGCTGCTTGTCGAGTTTCACCCAACCTTCAATCGATATTCGCAACGCACACGGCAGCTAAGTTACGATTGTTTGCCTTGTGAGTAAGTGTGTTTCTTTCTCGACAAATCACAATATCAGTGACGATAGTATCTGCGTCCATCCTTTCATGCTACGACAGTCTTGCACAAATCTCCTTCTAAAGGGTCGTATTGCCCGCTCTAGAAAAGCCAGAATGGGCAACACACCTAGCTAACTAACACTTGGTGGCCATGAAACGAGGTCGGTGGTTGCCCAATTCGAAACCCTACCGAAGGTGAAAACGTCACGGAAGACAGCTTATCGAAGTAAAAGCACGGCATTTCGTCGTTTATATCTTGCACAAGAGCTACTTAGCCGAGCAACGTTCGTGCAATTTTTTCGAAGCACGAAACACCATCACAGTCGTCGAGCGAAACGCTTCACTCGACAAATGTAAGCCCCTAAAACAGAGCACAAGAGCAAAAGCCGACAAATACCACCAAAGCTGACAAATATCACCAAAAGCTCAACAAATGCCACCAAAAACTTAGCAAATACCACCAAAGGTCGACAATTGTCACCGAAAGCCGACTATTATCGCCAACAAGTCCAAGCGTATTTTCGTTCGAGCGTCCGCATCCGAGCGATGGCCGTGATCACCTTCACGCCTCTCTACGGCGTGCACTCGAGCGTCCCGTGCTGCGCGTACCTGCTCGAAGTCGACGACGTCTGCATCTTGCTCGACTGCGGCTGGACAGACGAGTACGACGTGGAGATTCTGAAGCCGTTGCAGCGCGTGGTGGACCGCATTGACTTGGTTCTGGTATCGCACTTGGACCTGGCGCACATGGGGGCGCTGCCGTACGCGATGGGCAAGTGGGGGCTGAACGCGCCTATTTATGGCACACTGCCAGTGCACCGCATGGGCCAAATCGCTCTGTACGACGCGTTTCAGGCCAAGACGAAGCACGAGAGCGACTTTGCGCTCTTCTCCCTGGACGACGTGGATTTGGTGTTTGAGAAGTTCCAGCAGCTCAAGTACTCGGAGAAGCTGACGCTCACGAGCTCAGGGGAAGGCATTGTGATTACGCCGCATGTAGCAGGGCATCTCATTGGCGGCGCGTTGTGGCGGATCATGAAGGAGACGGTGAGGGCTTGAGACAAAGTGGCACTGCTGTTGACATAAGTGTAGACATATCGGCTGATGGAGATCTTGTCTCGGATGAATGTGTGCTGCTGTGGTCCAGGACGATATCATCTACGCTGTAGACTACAACCACCGCTCGGAACACGTGCTACAGAAGACGATCTTGGACTCGTTCACGTGAGATCCAGCTGAAAATGTGCTGCACGAGTGTCGGCCCCAACCTCATGTTTTTGTGCTGTTGTTTGTGGTCTGGGCTTGGCTGTTGGTGATCTGCAGACGTCCCACATTGCTCATTACAGATTCGATGAATCTACATCGAGAGCAGCCCAAGCTAAAGGACCGAGATAGCAAGGTTGGCTTGGTTTTTGCTGCTGTAGGTGTGTGATATCGAGACCAAGGGAATTCGATTGTGTCATTATGCGCAGATCATGATGGAGATTCTGAAGACGGTACGGAATGGAGGAAACGTGCTGATTCCGACCGATAGCTCTGGCCGCGTGTTGGAACTGATGCGGGTTCTGGACCAGTACTGGATCCACAACAAGTTAGTGCTGAGACTTGCGTGGTGATGTTGCTGGCGCTGCCTGAGCAATCGATGGACTCATATTGGTGTTGCTGTGCAGGTTACGTGATCCGATTGCGCTACTTCACGATATGAGTTACTACACTCCTAAGGCTGCACAGGCAATGCTGGAGTGGTGCAACGACCGCATCGCAAAGAACTTTGACGTCGGTCGGCAAAATCCGTTCCAATTCTCGTACGTGTACATTTGTTCGGACAAAAGCGTTGCGGCTAGCGGAATATCTGATGCTGTTCTGTGTTTCAGGCATATTCATCTGGTCCACACGCTGGAAGAACTAGATGCCCTACCAAGCCCGAAGGTAGTAATAGTCTCATTCGAGCTGTCTAGAAGCACGAAACTGACTTTCTTGTCGCACAATCCAGGTGGTTTTGGCTACTTCGCCGAATCTGGAATGTGGTTTCGCAAAAGACATATTCATTCGTTGGGCTCCTGGTCCCCGGAATAGCATCATTTTCACGTCGACTACACCGGAGACATCTTTTGCACATCGCGTACTGACACTCGCGAAAGACCCATCAGCAGAAAAGCACATCTCATGCACAGTGACGCAGAAGGTGTTTCTGGAGGGAGTGGAACTTGCACTGCATGAGGTGAAGGAACGGAAACGTCTTCGGACGGAAGCAGAAAATAAAGCGAAGGAGATGGAAGAGGCAGCTATGGAAGACATGATGATGGGGATCGAAGACTTTGAATCTGAGTCAGAAGAAGAGGTCACCACAAAGCCAGAAGGTGCGTCATGAGGGCCAAGATGCGTGGATGTATTGATGTTTACTATCGAGTTGCAGTCCAGCTTCGAGGTACCTACAAAGTCGGCTTGGGACAGTTCGCATCAGTTCGGTATCCGATGTTCTTTGCCGTGGAACCGAAGATCGAGTACGACGAATACGGAGAGGTAGGCGAATTGGCGCGAAGAATATGATTATGTCCTGTGGGACTCTTTCCTGACATGCACTTGCTGCCGATAGATCATCAACCCTGACGACTACAAGGACGCTTCTTTGTTGGCAAGCCGTCAGGCTCGTCGCAACCTCATTGAGGATGCCGACGGGGACGTGGACATGGACAAAGCCAACGAGGAAGCTGCTGTTGAAACTCGACCTACCAAAACCGTGACGAACAAAGTCGTCGTCAATGTAAGAGCTCGGCCTATGTCACCTCGTGGCATCCATCTGCTGTTGACCACATGTGTTGCTGAACTCAGATCGCGGCCCGCATTACGCAAGTCGACTTTGACGGGATCGCAGACGGTCGAGCCATCCGAAACTGTTTGGGCAACGTGAAGCCTCGGAAGCTCATTCTAGTTCATGGCACGGAGACCACGACGAACGAGCTCAAGAAGTTTGTGGAATCGTCGATCCCGATGTGCGAAGCCGTGTTTACTCCAAACGTGATGGAGTGCATTGATATCGAGTCCGACACGAACGTGTACAAACTGTCCGTGAAGGAGTCGTTGTACACGTCTGCAGTGTTCTGCAAGGTACGGTGATGAGCTGACAGCGTAGGGTGACTAGGGTGACTAATGTCGTACTGATGATGAACAGGTCGGTGGCCACGAAGTCGCTTATGTCACTGGTCAGCTCTCTCTGCCGGAGAATAGTTCCGTGCCAGTGCTACAGCCGCTCAACGAAAACGGCGGCCAGACAACGCACGACCCAATCTTGCTGAGCGATGGCAAGATGAAGCTGGACGTGATGAAGCAGGTGCTGGGCAAGGCAGGCTTTCAGGCCAAATTCCGTGGCGGGATGCTGGTCTGCAATGACGGCGTCGTGCTCAAGCGCGCGATGAACAACGAGATCGTGATGGAGGGCACGCTGTCCCGGAACTATTACCGCATCCGTGCGCTACTGTATGAGCAGTACACGCTCGTGTAGATGCCAAAACGCGCTAGCTATTGCTCAAAACACGATCGCAAAAAAGAAGTACCATAACTGCAAAATGGACCAATTTGACACCATTGTGAGTTGCGGTTAATCGGTTGCTCCTGTCAACTTACACGAGACAGCAGCTAGTCGACCCCCTTTCGTCGACTAGGCTCCGCGCCACTCCTCTCTTGGCACAACCCCTCTACTTAGCAATACCTCCTCTGCCTTCCACCTCCCGCGACTCGGTGTGAGTGGCTCCGTTAACTTTTAAAGATGACGGCGCTCCAGCGGCTTGCAGCGCGGCAGCTCTCGCGCTTCTCGACTACAGCAGCAGCAGCAGCAGCAACTGCGACTGCAACGAACGACAGCCCCTCCGACTTGCTGCAGCTGCTGGTGCGCAACGCGGACGGCTCGCGCGCGTCTCGCCGGCTGCGCAAACAGGGCCTCCTGCCGGGTGTGCTCTACGGCGAGGGCGAGGACGGCGAGGATGAGCGCGTGCTCGTGTCGTTCCCCACGCGCGCGTTCGAGCGCATGCACCGCCAGCTCTGGACATCCATTGAGAACCAGGTGTTCCACGTGCAAGTGGACGGCCAGTCGCCGGTCAAAGCCTACATGCGGGACGTGCAGCTCGATCCCGTCACGGACGTGCCGTTGGCCGTCAACTTTCTGCGCTACAAACCCGGACGCACCGTGTCGATCCCCATCACGTACTTGAACGAAGAGAGCAGTCCCGGGCTCAAGCGCGGAGGCTTTATCAACCACATTTACCACGCGCTCGAGTGCACCGTGTCGACAGACGACGTGCCGACGACGTTGCAGGTCGACGTGAATGGGCTGCACGTGGGGGACAAAGTGTACCTGGAGGCCATTGCGTTCCCGGATGGAGTCGAGCCGAACGTTCCAGAGGGGTCTCTGGTCGCAAAGATTGCCGGTCGTCGGGGGCTCATCCCGCGCGTGGAGCCGGTGGTCGAGGAAGTCGTCGAGCAGAAGGAGGTAGACGACGACGACGACGAGTTTGATGACTGGAACGACATTTTCTAGGCGAGAGAGATGCACGAGACAGGGAGGCGTCAAGGGAAGAAGAAGAGAGGGAGTCGGGCACATGGCTGGGCATCGCTGCTACTGCTGCTGCTTGTTCCGGTCCTTGCTGTGTGCAGCTTTGCTTTGTCTCGAGCAATTAAATAGAGTCCCGATTGCCAGTTTCGCTTTGCTCTGTCCAGCCCAAACCCGACAGACAGCATGCGGTGCTTCACTGACTTCGTGCACACGTGTGCACGCGTCTACTCAGCGGATGCTGCAGCTGCTCCGATCGTCGCCCCAACAGCCCTCGGCTGGAAGAACGACGCAGTGTCAGGCACCGCTTTCTTGCTCTCATCCCGATCCGTCTTTGCCTTTTTGCTCCCAGCACTGCCATCGGCTTGCGTGGGCTTCACGTCTGGGAAGTCGAGACGCAGCCAATCCAGCGACGCCGTCGTCTGAATCGTGCGCGTCACATCCGACGCTTTGATCTGCCGCTTGTTCCGGTACAGCGCCTGCTCGTAGCTCTTGGTGCCTAGAAATTGAGCAAACAGTTCCTGCAGCAATGCAGCAACAAGACGAGTGTCAGCAGCCGTCGCCCATTATTTTCCCGTCGCTCCTACGACGTAGTGCACGAGCGTCCGTACTGCTGCCTTTGCCATCGCAACAAGTGCGTCCTTCGAGATCTTGCCCACGTCCGAGTCGCTTTGCACGATCTTCCGCACTCTTCCCAGTGGGAACAGGCACACGCACCGCTCGTCCACGTCCTTCTCGTCTCCCGAAAGCTCCTCGTGGCCCTCTGCCTTGTCCTGTAGCTCCTGCTGATACCGTGCCTTGTCGTCGGCCGCCATCCGCACAAAGACCTCCTTCTCCTCGGCCGTGAGCGCCTTCCACTGCACGCTAATGATCTTCTGGATGTCGCCGATGCGGGCGCCCGGGTGTTCGCTCATCACCTGCTGGCGCCTCTCATGGCAAAAGAACAGGTACGAGCTCTGCGGTTTCTTCACGCGCGCCATTTGTCTTGCAGCAATTGTGTTGTGTCGGATCAATTTGCTGGATGATGGAGGTGCCACGATTAGGAGCCATTATTGCAGCTACGGTCGGGAGCCCTTATTGTCCCAATATTGTCCAGTATTGTCCCAGTATTGTCCCAGTATTGTCCATTATTGTCCCAATATTGTCCATTATTGTCCCATTATTGTATGCAGCTGTCATAGCTGACACTCTTTTGGTCAAAAGTGGTTTTGTCTCGATGTACCCACCACAGCGTAAAAGTTCCAACTGAACATCTCATCTCGACCATGGGCGGCAGCGGCAGCAAAAGTGCCGAGACGTCGAACGGCGCGCCACAAGCTCCGTCCAAGGCCGTGTCTGCGAAGGACGAGGTGATCGGTCTTGTGCTGGACGGCCTGATGCTCTACACCATGTATCAAGTGTCCAAATACCTCTACAAGGCAAAGTGACGGTCTTTTGCTTCTCCTTCTCCTCCTTTTTTGTACCCATGTTGTCTCTCGTCTGCATATGGTCAGGTCTCTCGTGAGCTCACAGCGACTTCTGTGTGCACAGCAAGCAAAGCCCATGCTCGATGACTGGAACAAGGGCCAGGACAGCCAAGCCAAGCTGAAGAACCGACTGCAGCGCACGGGCCGCCGCGCCTTCAGCACCAACTACTTTGAGAACGTTATTGCTGGCGACATCGTTGACCCACAAGACATTGACGTGTCGTTTGACGACATTGGCGGCCTGGAGCGCCAAAAGCGCGACATCCACGATCTCGTCGTGCTGCCGCTTCGAAGTCCCGAATTCTTTGCGTCTCGTGGGAAGCTGCTCACAGTTCCGAAAGGCATTTTGCTCTACGGAAAGCCTGGTACAGGTAAGACCATGCTGGCGAAGGCTATCGCCAAAGAGTCCGGCGCGTTCTTCATCGATCTCAAGATTAGCACGATCATGAGCAAGTGGTTTGGCGAGTCGCAGAAGCTTGTGCGCGCGGCTTTTTCGCTGGCTCGGAAATTGGCGCCGTGCATCATATTCATTGACGAGGTCGACTCGTTCATGGGCAAGCGAGGCGGTGTATCGGACCCCACCTTTTCATCGATGAAAACGGTGAGCATCGTCGATTGAGCAAGATGGCTGCAGAGCTTGCTGGTATCTGACTTCTCGTCTGTGCTGTTGCTGCAGGAATTCTTGGCACTTTGGGATGGCTTCACTGAGATGAGCAACGAAGACACCGGTGGCTTTGGTGTTATTATCATGGGTGCGACCAATCGCCCAGGTGACGTGGACCCAGCCTTCCTTCGTCGCATGCCTCGCACATTTGAAATCGGACTGCCTGACCAGCCGCAGCGTGAGAAGATCCTTCGTCTGCAGCTGAAAACGGAGCGAGTGGATGACAATGTCGACTTCAGCCATCTCGCCAGTAACACGGTGTACTACAGTGGAAGCGATCTGAAGGAACTGTGTCGCGCCGCCCTAATGATTCCGCTTCGAGAACACATCGACAACTGCCGCGCGGCAGCAGGAAAAGCCGCAAAGAATCGACTAGCTGAAAGCGAGAAGCCCCAGATTCACGACGAGGCTACTCCGGCCGAGCCGCCTATGATGCGTCCACTGTCGATGGCTGACTTTGACGAGGCGAGAACCATGGTACAGCCAACAGGTGCGACAGCATATGCGTACGAGAACGCCCAGAACGAAAAGCCTTCTCGCCAAGCGTCCAACGGCTCTGGGATGTCGGTGGACCCAGATATGTTCGCGGCAGTTCTGGCTGCAGGGTTGCAAAGCTTGGTGCAGCAAAGTCATAGCGTTACGCCGACTCACGATTGATTGAGTTGGTGAGAAGGGAAAAGTTGATTAGATGAATAAACGCTTTGTAAGTACAAACTCGTTCCGCTGAGTCTGCGGGTCCACTTGTGCAACGCCAAGCAGTCTTGGCGAGGAGCGGCTGTAAATGCGAATGGACTTGCCACTGATGAGGCCATAGTGCTTGTCGTCTACAAAGTCAATGTCGTCTGCCGGGACAGCCACAACGCCGCCATGTAGCCAGCGCTGGACTGTATGCTGAGGCAATCTCGCAAATGGAAGATGCTGCAACATGCTTTCAATCGGTTGAAGCAGAGTCTCTCCTTCCTGTTGTGAACAAGAGGCAAAATGTGTCACGAAGCCACTACTCCATGCAGCTGCCAAACAGTGCGCGTACCTCTACTTTTGCTCTAATCTCATCCAAACTGAGGCTATCGACGATGGTGAAGGCCCCACTTCGAGTCCTCTCCAACTCAGTTAGCGTGCCTCCAGCACACAACGCACCAGCAGGATTGCGCAAGTCGTAGGGCACGTCCGTGTGCTCGGGCGGAACAATCAACGCCTCGCCGCACTCACGTGCGATTGATCGAATGTACGTGCCTCCCCCACATTCCACGCGAATTCCAACCTGTCACTGACCACTTAGCTTCTCTTTACTCACCACAAACAACAGACGTATCTGATAACACACGCGCTGAACCAACGCACCTCTGGAAAGTCTCCCTGCGCAAACGTCTCAACATCAATGCGCTCAATATGCACTCGCCTCGGCGTGATACTAAAGACCTGCACATCACGACAACACGCCAGCAGAAACAGAAACAGCAGCTCATTTTCTCGTCAGCTCCTTCCTCTCCCATCATTACGCCCTCCTCTTCCTCATGCACGTCCTCCTGCCAATCCTCCTCTTGCCTTGTTCGCCCTCGCCAATTTGTACATCCTCACGCCATCTTTCTTGATCGCACTCACTCGTGGAGGGACTTGGTCAACAGAGCCAATGAACCTGCAACCAGTCAATCGTTCGTCAGCTCTTTCCTCAATCACACGGCCACGTCGGTGCCGCGTCTCCCGTCCCTCCATCGACCGCACCTCTGCAAAGCCGAGCGCACGCTCTCCTCCGTGACCCACGGAACCGGACGTTGCGTCAACACATCGCCCGTAATGTCGTCCGAGTCGGTCGTGACGCCCAGTCGGATCACGCCTCGGTACTCCTTTTCCGTCGTCAGGAACTGCAGGAAGCGCGTGGCGCGTCCCACGGCGACCGCGAGAACGCCCGTAGCCATTGGATCTAGCGTCCCTCCGTGTCCCACCTGCTTCGTACCGAGTGCTCGACGTATGGCGCCCACGCACTGGTGCGACGTCACGCCCGCCGGCTTGCGCACATTCAAAAAGCCACTTGATGTCATGACGCGAGCGACAGAGTGAAGGTCATTTTGACAGAGAGTGACGGTCAGTTTGACAGAGAGCGACGGTCAGTTTGACAGAGAGCGACGGTCTTTTTGACAGAGCGTGGAAGTCTTTTTGACAGAGAGAGTGACGGTCGTTTTGATTGGCTTCAGCGATCTACTGATTGGTTGATGCGCGACCAATCAGAGCACGAACCAAAACGGCGTGCGCAGTTCGTCTGGATGAAGGTGCTCAACGTCGCGGAGAAGCCGTCGGTGGCCAAAGAGATTGCCGCTATTCTGTCCTCTGGTCGCTCACAGCGCGTGCGTTGTGTATCCGCTTGTCTATCGCTTTCTTGTGTGTATACTACTCTTTGTGTGCGTAGCGTGACGACGCCTGGTGCTGTTTTGTCCGCTGTATCTGCCGCAGCGTGCCGGATTCTCCAAGTACAACGCGCTGTTTGACTTCCCGTATCAGATTCGAGGGCGACAGGTTCAGATGGTCGTCACGTCTGTGACGGGGCACATGATGGAGCTGGACTTTGACGCGAGTGTCCGAAGCTGGTACTCGTGTGATCCAGTGGAGCTTTTTACTGCTCCAGTGACCAAGAGAATCCGCAACGACGAGATCCAGAAAAAGATCGAGCAGACGCTACTGAAAGAAGCCAAGCAGAGCCAGGTAGAGTCAATAGGACATGGATTTGCCGCTATTCTTATGCGGTACCGCGACGATGTTATGAACTGACGCAGCCAAGGAACTAACATCGGCAAATGCAGTGGCTGGTGCTATGGCTGGACTGTGATCGAGAGGGTGAAAACATTGCATACGAAGTCAAAAGCATCTGTGAAAAATCTAACCGACGTATGCGCGTCTTTCGTGCCCGTTTCTCGGCGCTGATCCCGCGTGACATTATCGATGCGATACAAAACTTGTCGGAACCCAACGAAAAACTATCGCTTGCCGTAGACGCTCGGTCTGAAATCGACTTGAGAATCGGCGCAGCTTTTACAAGGTTTCAGACGATGCGTATCCAGAGCAAGTTTCCGACATTGAAGCAAGACAAGAGTGTGATTAGCTATGGTCCGTGTCAATTTCCCACGCTAGGTTTTGTAGTGGAGCGATTTCTTAAGGTTCAGAATTTTGAGCGAGAGACATTTTACTACATCAGCGTTACGCACCAGCACAACGATCTTCCGGACGCACCGATGACGACTTTCAAGTGGAAGCGCGAGCACCTTTTTGACCGCTTGGCGTGCTTGTGCATCTACGAGTGCCTGATGGATAGCCAGGCAGTAATTATCGAGTCGGTTGACAAACGAATTTCCTGGAAATGGAAGCCGCTGCCACTTACGACAGTGGAGTTGCAGAAGCGGGCATCGCGATGGTTGCGGATGTCGTCAGAAGCAACTATGAAGGCAGCTGAAAGCTTGTACAATAAGGGTTTGTTGAGCTATCCGCGCACGGAGACGAGCAAGTTCAAAGAAGGCACGGATTTGATGGGTTTAGTTCGGCTGCAAGAAAACCATCACCAGTGGGGAAATTACGTGACACGCGAGCTTTTAGACGGAGGGAAATACGAAGCGCCCCGTCATGGAAACTCGGATGATCAGGCACACCCGCCGATACATCCGACTAAATGTGTTGATATGAATACGTTGTCAGATCCGAACGAGAAAAAGGTGTATGAGTTTGTCGTTTTACACTTCTTGGCATGCTGTAGTCGGGATGCCAAGGGTTATCAGACAAACGTCGTGGCGAAAATGCTGGGAGAATACTTTACAGCATCCGGGCTCATGGTGGAGGAACGTAACTATTTGGATATCTATAAATACGAGAAATGGAACGCGTCCGCGATTCCTGTGTATCAGCAGGGAGATGTGTTCCAGCCATCAATGGTCGGAATGCTATCTAAGGAGACGAACCCGCCACCTCTCTTGTCAGAGGCCGACTTGATCGCGAAGATGGATTCGAACGGAATTGGTACTGATGCCACAATTGCCGAGCACATTAAAACCATCTTGAAGCGCGAGTACGTCGTCAAGGTGAACAATGACACTCAGTTTAAACCCACCACGTTGGGGCTGGCACTGGTGTTATCGTACGAGCACATGGGTGTCGAGTTAGCAAAGCCTAAACTTCGTGCAGCAGTAAGTCTGATCGAGCAAAATTTGCGAGCCTGCTTACTGACCGCTATCTTGCTTGAGTTGTAGATGGAGAACGACTGCAAGGCAATTTCGCTAGGGCAGAAACACATAAAACAAGTGGTGCAATCGTGCATGGATCAGGTAACGCCGTTTTGTGCCACTCGAGCACGCAACCTACTGACACGACTGATTTGCGTGTGTGCAGATGAAAAGCATTTTCATGAAAGTTACCAGTAGCGCTACTGTGCTGGACCAGACTTTTTCGGAACAATTCGGCCAAGCTGTGAGCGGCCAAGCAGTACCACTACGGAGTGAGCAGCGAACCGCTTCAGAAAGCGAACCAATGCCTTCCTATCGGGCACAAGAGAGACCACAAAGCTCTGTCTGTACCAATCCAGCATTGGGAGGCCAAGCGGCTGGTGGAAGTACCGACCACACAAACGGAATAGGACGGCGAGCGAGCCAACGAAGTCCGCCCCAATCGCCGAGTCTTTCCCAGGCGCAGGGTCGATCACAACTTGCTCCAAGCATACCCGCAAGCACACCTCGGTGCGCTGATCACAGCTTGCCTTGCCTCGAGCGAGAGGTAACCCGGGAGGGGCCGAACGTAGGACGCAAGTTTTATGTCTGCCCGCTGCCTCAAAGTGAGCAGTGCAATTTCTTTGCTTGGGTGTCTGGGCCCGACCCAAGCGATGTCCCTGCGGTGAAATGTACCGGTCACGACGAACCGTGCGCCGAGCGAACAGTCATAAAAGACGGTGTGAACAAGGGCCGGCAGTTCTATACCTGCCGGCGTGGCCAAACCGACAACAGCTGCGGGTTTTTCCAGTGGAAGGATGACAGTACAAAGACATCTGGCAGCTCAGCGGCACAGTCGGACACCACCCCGCGGTGCTCCGGACACAGCGTCACTTGCGTCTTGCGCAGAACTAGAAAGGCTGGTCCGAACCAAAACCGCGAGTTTTATGCCTGCAGCCTCGAGGGAACAGAGAGCTGCGGGTACTTTAAGTGGAAAGACGAAATGGAGCTGAACCATCGGCAGCCCGCGTCATCGTCTTCAGTGCTGCGTTCAGAGAGCAGCGCAGGTGACAGTGGGGTACCTGTATGTAGGTGCAACTTGCGTGGCGTCTTGCTGATGTGTAAGAACGGAGCAAACAAGGGCCGGGCCTTTTACAAGTGTCCAAATCCGCAGGAGAGTCAATGTGATTTCTTTCAGTGGGGGGCATAGTAGTGTCCCTCACATCCAGAAACGAGAGCTTGTGATTCCGTCTCGCCCTCAATCACGACGACGTGTCGCCCTCAATTACGACGACGTGTTGTGGTCTCGTCCACTGAGAGCTTCCATCATGGCCACTACTACTGGCAGCATGGTCGTCTTCTGCCGTACCCCATGCCGCTGTTTGTCGCACAAGAAGAAGAACGCGCCTAATGTGGCCACCTCGCTGTCCTCCTCCTTCGTCATGCGATCCGCGCACTGCAGTAAATCCTCCACAATGTCCACGGCGTCATCGTCTCGTCGGACCTCCTGCTCAAGTGCCATGTACTGCGACAGCTGCTCCTTGCAATCTTCGAGCGCCAGAATGCGCTTCATACCGTCGATTCGCCGCTGGATCTCCTTATCGGCCTCTCGCATCTCAGTCTCAATGGATAGAACACGCTCGAGATACCTCCGACGGGCTACTGCGTCCAAGTTTGTCGCCCTCAACTGCTCGTGTCTTGTGTCGACGACCGCCTCTGCGGCCGCAACAGGAGGGTATAGGTGGTCTCCAAACAGCGTTCCGGTCGGACTCGTCTCGACTACGTGGCGTTGGATCTGCGTCTCGAGGTCCACGGGCGCACTGATTGCCAGGTCGTGGTCGTCGTACACGCCACTCGCGTCTAGCTGGAGGAAGGTGTCCATTACATGCAGTGGGATCGCCAGTCTTTTGGTGTGGATGTACTCGACTCTGCCCAAAGGGGATACGACTCTTTTTGTTGATGAGTCGTAATCCTCTTCTTCGTTTTGTGTAAAGTTTATTGGGCAGGACACTGCCCGGTCAAGTCTGACCGCCGCCCGGATAGGACTAAATACCGCGGCTATTGGTCCGACCACCGCCACGTTTCGTCTAAATACCGCTTTCGTTGAGCCGGTCAGCGTCCAGTTTAGTCAAAATACCGCTTTCGTTGAGCCGGTCAGCGTCCAGTTTAGTCAAAATACAGCTTTTATAGTTCCAGTCAGCGCCGGGTTTGGTCTAAGCACCGGTTTTGCTATATTAAATTAGAAGAGCTGTTGAGATTGCTGGAAATACTTTTGATTGGTCCACACATTTATTGCAGCCAAGGTTAGCGTTAGGGATAAGTGCTGATTGCAGTCGATTTTTCTAATGCATTATTACACAGGATGGCCAATTTCATTCCGGATTCAGTAGATAGACATTATCCTGTATGGTCGTCGGAAAAGCTGTTTTTACCCATTCACTCGCGCTACAGACACCAATTCAGTTTATTTCTTCGCAAATCAGGCAGTTAAAGGTGTCCCTCGAATCCTGTTCATCTTGCGGGAATAATGTTCTTCTATGGATCACACAAAGAACCGCATATATACATTACCTGCTTTATACAGATACGAAACTGTTGCGGGGTGGGTACCGTAGCATCACAGCGACACTAATAGATGTCAGCGAAATATCCTCGTGGCGAATGGTGTTATCGAAACTTACTGCAAACCCTAACACACATTAACTACTGCTAAGGGCTAACAAAGGGTTAGAAATGCCTGTTTAGAAACGTCTTCTCAGTCATTGTTATGTTACAGGTTCAACTGATACAACACGTGACGGTGACACCTGATTGGTCGAGTCCACAAACGACTTGACAGATGGTGAGACGAGGATACGATGGTGATAGATGGCGCGACGAGGCAACGACAGTGACAGGTGTCGTGACAGGATGGTGATGGACCAGATGGCGGGACAAGGTAGCGATATGACCGTTGGAAGACATGGCGACGGCTCGCGAGATGAGAGGGAAGACGGACGCAATCATGTTATGGTAAAGTTGCAGTGCATGTTATATTATGGTGTTAGCAAACGAAGAAAACACTTGAATATATTTGTGGTGAATGGTGATCGCTCTTTTGAGGAGTCGATACCAACTCTCCACTGGCACCCGGATGACCGACTAACGGAGGGGGTACTACGATTCCGTATTCTTGATAGCCTTCCTCACCTTGTGTACCCGTCGGTGGGGCGGGTCGTACTCTTCCATGTGGACTTGTGTCAACGGAAAACTTGACTGTGTTTGCGATGGGGTCGAGGGTCGATCTCGGTGTGGAAGTCTTCACACCACGATCGGGGTTGGTATGATCACGTGCAATTCGTCACGCGATCACTTGTATGCTTATGGGGTGCTTGATATGAGTCGCTCTGATCTGTAACAGATCGCCTCGTCCAAATGTAGACCTTGATTCGCGAGCCTTCTGACCACTTGAGCCGTCTCGCGATCTTGGGTCCTCAACCACAAGGGTTTCTGCGTCCAGTCGCAGTTGGGGTGTTTTTTGAGAGATATTGATCCCTGGCCAAACAATCCATGGATATCACTTGATTAAAGTATGTAAACCTTTCCTTGACGTCGGATGGCCAATGATCCACCCGGAGGAGAAGTCGACACGTGTACTTTGAAGCAAATTGAACTCTGTTTAATGTTAACCAATCAAACCCAACAACCCTATCCCTATCCCCATGTCTTGGACATCGTTTGCCACATGTCGCTCTCTATAGACGGTAGCGATCTTGTACTTGCGTGGACCACACCTGATATGCTTGTCTGATCGCGATCACATACCTGATCACTGATCACGATCTCGATCGCTTACTGATCGCGGTTCCCTTCTTGATCGACTGATCGCCGACGTTACCTTCCGCCTCATACCTTGACCCAAGATCGCAGGTCCCAACCTGCCCGATCTGATATCCATTTTAGTCTGACTGTCCAATGGACGCGATCTGACCAGATGTGGGACCGGGTCGCCAACCGTTAACTGGCTCGGACATAACTGGAATGCGATCAGTTCCTCTACAGCGAATTTCCATAGTCGCTTTACCACAGTCGTCCCCTGCGCCGTCAGTCGCCACACAGTGTCGATCTGACTGCGCACTCATCTTTTCGCTTGGCCAGTACCTCGTGTTAACATCAATTTCCTCTTTCGTTTAATCTTCGTAATCCATTGTTGAAATCGTCTCCATTCTTCTTCTTCTATTTATCCATGCTCAATCAGGTTATATACAGTTCCGGTCGCTCGCGATCAAAGACACCATCTATCCTATAATTCACCAATGCTGATCCCTGACGATCATCAAATACTGCCAGACCTTCACCTGCGCGATCACGTCGGTAAACCTTCGATTGCCATACCCACAACATCTACCGCCTTTCCACCTTCCCATACATCCTTCCTGTACGTGACCTCAAGTCCGCGACCTGACCCTCACTCACCCGCATTCCCCTCTTCATGCGACTGCATCACTTCAAACCGATTCTTCCGCACACGATCACGATCCCATTCTTGTATCAACGCTCCACAGTTCAAGTCGGCTTCGTCCACCCACGACGGATCCCCATATCCTTTCCAATAGACTTTGAACTGTCGGTGAACCCTGCCATAACGTGTCCGCCGTCCTGATCGCATGTCCGTTATTCTCTACACTTCGAACTCGTCTTCTGCCAGACCGCTTACCCAACTGTCTTCTGGTAATAAAGCTTCGTCAAAGTCAGCTCGATCCGCTTCGCTTATTATCAGTTGTTCCATCGGTCGATCCAGAAAACAGTCGTACGAGTTTCAGCTTCGACACGTGAACCACTGGGAAGACTTGGTAGGGCGTACTTGCTGTTCCCAATCTCACCGCGTGATCCCCGCACTTGTCGATCACTCGGAACAGTCCGTGCCACATATGTGCCAGTTTCCGAGCGTACACCTCCTTCACGCGATCCAGAAATAGCCAGACTTGCGATCCGTTTCATATGTCCAGCAGATCGCGATCCTGATTATGCTGATCGGCGCGATATTGAATTGCTTCCTCCAGTCAATTAATCACCACTGCTCTCTTCCCGTTGATATTGTCGTTGTATGCCATACCGCCATCGTCGTGGATCTATGGTACTCCCTAGAGGTAACGTGGCTTCCAAAGTTGATCGGGGTCCCAACCGTGGATCAAATAAAATGGGGTGTTACCGCGAATCCGATCATGTGCGGTGTTGACCGCGTATGTCAATCTTTCGGCATATCCATCCCAATCTCTCTGGTTCTTGTTCGACACATACATCTAGAGCGCTCTAGTTAACGTCTGTACCATGCGCTCTGCTGTGCCGTCTGCTTGTGACCTATAAGCCATAGTAGCTCGTTGTTTCTGGCCTACGACACGATTAAACTCCCGAAAGAAATCAGACATGAATCCTGGCTCTCAATCGTGACGAATTGCTTCACTTGCGCCAAACCTTCTAAATACACATTCTTCGTCATTTTCCGCGATTGTTTGCGCGGTCCGAGACGCACTCGCCTTTGCAACCTTATATCCAGAGAACAGGTCGACCCAGATCAACAGCTTCGTGTTCCCTTTGAGCGATCGCGGCAACGAAGAAATATGATCCATCGCCAGAATCGGAAAAGTGTACGCTGCTTGTATGTTAACTGACGATCCACTTCGATTGCAGGGGTGTCCTTTACCTGTTTCACAATCCACACACTCTCCCACATGCCGTTGCACACTTCAATAAAGACCTCTCCAGTGAAACTTCTCCCTGATCCGCTGGTAGATTTGACCTATATCCTGGTGGCAGCCCTCCAATCAGGTATGATAATGATGAAAAAAATCCTGCTGCAATAACTCCGGGATAGCCAATCGAACCAGCTCAACGCGATCTTCTGACTTTGTGGCTGATCTGGAAAAAAGCAACAACCCATCCTGATCGACCTCATAGTCCGGCGCGATCAAGGCACATGATTTTGCATCCGCTGATGTAATCGTGGATAAATCCCAGTCAGATAGATGATCAGATTAGAGATCCAACTCCCTTCATCTTGCGCTTGTTTTAATCCGCTCTATTCGTATCTGCTGTACGATATTTTCTTGGGCAATTTTTGGCGAATGACGTCGTCGTGCGGCATCACGGGCAGTTGCTGCTACTTGCATCCTTTTGATTGACATGCGGGGTAACAGCAACTCGTCCAGCCGATTCAGAGTCACGAGATCTTGGCGATCTTGGTCATCCGTCACTATCCCACCTTTCTCTTTCCGCAGAGCTTCACTTGACAATCAATCTGCGCTTCCGTTCCAATCTCGTTTCACATATAGAAAATAATGCTTGGGCCAGGATCGGAGTTTCTCCATCGCTTTACGTCTCAACAGTCTTATACCTGACGCCTTGCAATCGATCTCTCCACGAATTTATCCGATCGTCAAATTCGAATCCTTGCAAATGATCGCTTGTCCCATGGTCTGATCAGTGATCACATCAAAACATAGAAGTCGTCCTCTATACTCTGCTTCGTTGACAATTAGATCAGAGACGAACTCGGACGCGGCAGCCACGACCTTCCTACCTGTTAATCTCCGTACGATCGCGCTTCATGCTCCGCATTTTCTCTTCACTCTAGAAGACCCATCAAAACTAGCCACCCAGATGTTTTCTTCCTCTTCGAACGTAGGTGGATGCATACTGATCGTTTCTCGTGGTTGTTTCATTGGCGCAATCGCGATCAACATCTCATCCACTTCCTGTCGAAAAGTGATACTCGCTGCCAGAGTACCCAGCATCTCATCTTCACCCTTCTCACATCGACGGATCTCCAGTGTCCAATTTGATAACAATGTAGCCCATCGCCCCAATCTCCCATTGAATCTGGAAGATTGGAGCAACCAGGCT